GTAGAGTATCTGAATACATCTATGGCCAAAACCCAAAACAATACGAATCGTAGGAGCCCTATACATGTAGGCCCAGCCCTCCCGCTTTTTTTTTTTTTTTTTAGATGTGGTTTTATAAAACTCTCCAGAGAAGGGGACCCCGCCAGCGTGCCACCTTCCAAGCACCAGCAGGCACATGGTCTGCCATTGGGACACAACTTGTGTGTGTGTGTGTGTGTGTGTGTGTGTGTGTGTGTGTGTGTGTGTGTGTGGTTGTTTTGTTGTTTTTCTCGTGGTGTTCCAACTTGCACGAGGTGGCCACGTGTTGTGCGGCGGTCATCATGCACGGCACAGATGTACGCTCACGTAATGCCATGTACACTTATGCCCATACACATCTCTGACCACTGCCTGTTGTGCGTGCATGTGTGCGTGCAGGGACGGCAGCGGGGTCGCGGTGGGCGTCGGTCCGGTGGCGGCCGCAGAGACAGACAGCAGCAGCAAGAAGAGGATGAGGGCAGCCAGCCGCAGGCCAAGCAGGCACCTCCAGCCTCAACCAACCAGCCCCGCCAGCACATTACCCTCTCCTCCAAACCCCAGCCAAAGCAGCAGCAGCAGCAGCAGGGTAAGCCGTCGACACAGCCGCCAGCATCGCAGCCGCGCGGCCCCAGTGTACAGACGGCGCCGCCAGCCTCTGCTGCCCAGCCCGTCATGCCCACGGGCATCAGCTACGCTGCGCGCGTGCGGGCCATGCGTGGACGAGGTGGCGCCCACACTGCTGGTCGCGGCGGCCGTGGCGGTGGTCGTGGCGGGCACCACCAGCGCCCATACCCACACCCGCAGCAGCAGCAGCAGCAGCAGCAGCAGCAGCACATGCAAGCACGGCCCGTGCACGCTGCTGGTGGTGGTGTTCGCGGCGGGAAATGGGGCGCACCGCCGGTCGGGCGTCTTCCACCGCCAGGAATTACCGGTAAGAGCAGCAATGGGGGGAGAGGGGAGAGCACGTTGTGTTTTGAAGCTGTTGATGTTATTGAAGGTGGTGTTGAAGGTGGTCCTGGTGTAGTTTTGGTTTTTGTGATGTTGCGTGGTGCAGGTGTCACTGCATTCGCAAACGCACACGACTGCACCGCATCACACACACACACGCACGCACACGCACACGCACACGTACACACGGCTACACTGCATCTCACACGTTGTGTTGTGTGCCGGGGCACTTCTCTTGTGATGTGACAGCGGAGACACCGGCGCAGCAGCAGCTTGAGCAGGAGATGACAAACGCAATGGCCAAGTCAGTTTGGTTGTGCCTTTTTGTGGCTGTCCTGCCTGTTGTTCCGCAGGCGGCGAGAGACAATTTCTGTCATTGAGCACAACAGCCTCGTGTGGCATTGTGGTTGCGTATTTGCGAACCGTGCACGACCAGCTACTCACCCCCCTTGTCACATTTGCTGGCATTGGCATTGTGCACCGCAGTGTGTCGGTTCAGGAAGGTGCCGCCCAAACGATGCAACCACAGCAGCAGCAACCACAGCAGCAGCAGCAACAGCAGCAGCAGCAACAGCAGCAACAGCAACAACTGGCAAGCAACGCTGCTCCGCAACAGCAGGTGTGAGCTTGGTACCACTGTGTGCTGTGGGCAGCGCTGTTATCGTACAGCTTTTGTAGTTTGACTCACGCTTTCCACCACGTTGTACTCGTGCATGTGTGTGTGTGTGCGTGTGTTTATATGCGTTTGTTTGGAATTTTGCAGGCGTCCACCACGACCACATCTGCTCGCCTCACTGCAAAGCGATTTGTCGGCGATGATGGTGCGTATTTGCTGCTTTCACGGTGCACATGCGCGTGGTGGGTTGAAGCGCACATTCAGAGGTTGGCACGACTGTGCAACAAATGCATGGTCAGGAACTTGGCATGCAATCTCCATCACACCTCACAATGACATCGTGCGCACTCCACCACTTGAAATGGACACACTCACACACACACTCACACTCACACTCACACTCACACTCACACTCACACTCACGCACGATCACGGTTGCAACACGCCAGGCGTTCCCACATCTCGCGTGCGCTTGACGCTATCGTCCTCGTCGCAGTCTGCCGTGAGCAACGGTCCCCCACCACAACAACAAACACAGCCGCAGCAGCAACAACAACAGCAGCAGCAGCAGCAGCCGGTGCCCCTGCACCTGCGCAGCCGGCGCTGAAGGAGGGGGAGTCAAACCTCCCGCAGTTGCTCAAGGCCCTTCAACATACACACCCACCCAACCACAACAACAGACACCACAGCAGCACCAGGTACCACAGCAGCAGATACCACAGCAGCAGCAGCCACAGCGTCTGTTCCAGGCGTCATCGGCGTCAACAGCGGCTGAGAGCGCTGATGCTGCGATCAAGGAAGTGCAGCAGGTTGCAGTCGACATGCCCGCACAGTTTATCCACTCACAGCCCTTCCATCCCATGCAGGTACGCTTGGTTGTCGTTGATGCTCTTGTCCTTGATCTTGCTCTTGTTGTAGTTCTTGTTCTTGTTGTTGTTGTTGTTCTTGTTGTTCTTGTTCTTATTGTTGAGAATGGCATCAGTGACGTGCACTCACTGCTGCTTCAATGTTCTGTCACGCTGTGTTTGCAGAGCCAACAACCGCCACAACAGCCACAACAACAACAACAGCCGCAGCAGCAGCAACAGCAGCAGCAGCCCATGCCCATGATGGTGCCTGTAACGACCGCTCCTCCAATGCAAATGGGTGCGTGCAGCATACATACACATGTTCGCTGTGTCTGTGTGCGTCTAATTCGTGATGCATGGATACATGCGCATGCTTGTCGCCACGCAATCTCACCCTGTGTATACCTCAATCAATGTTCCTTCATCAAACAGCGTACGCAGAAGGTTATGCACCGTATCCTCAACGTAAGCGCCCCCCCCCCCCCCGACATGACATATTCCATGCTCGCGGCTTGCTCTCTGGCCTAACAGCCCCACACCCACACCCACAGA